TTTTTCTAAGCCTATTTCATCAATTACTTCGGATATAATGTTGCACATGAAAGTTCCTTCATGATGAGCTGCTTTCGTATCTACTATTTTATATAACACACGCTCAGGTGAGAATAGGATTACCATATTACAAAATATAATTTCTTGACATTTCTAATGATAATTCCGGACAAAGTTTTAAAAATCCGGATAAAATAATAAAACTTTAACTTGAAATAATTACTATATGTTTTATTTAAAAAGTACCTACATACCATCAAAAACTAAGAACATAAACAGTTCATTAATTAAAAAATCTTGAAATTATTATAAGGAGGACATTGCGAATATTAGACCAACCATCAACTTGAATCCCTAGTCTTAGTAGTATGAATTTTTTCGTTCACGGACTTTTTTACACGATCATATTCACTGTTTAGTAATTTATTGAGGAAAGTTTTAATGAAAAGCAGTTATCCAGTGCTTATTTTCACGAAGGTTGGTGTCGCTTTCGCCAAATATGGTAAATTACAAGAAAATGCTGTATATAATGGTAAATAACGGTAAATAATGTAAATTTTTTACCATAAAAATCGGTAATTTACTTTGTAAATTGCGAGTAAATTACCACGGTAATTTATCGGTAATTTACCAGTTCACATCTCTCTTACGATTCATACTGTAAATATAAGGAATGATCAACAAACAATGTTTCAAACGTTGGCCTTCGAAAAATTCACGTATGTCGAGCATACAAATCTTCTTCTTTTTATTATTTTATCTTTTAAAATGTAGAATTATTATAGTAGCTTTAATATGTTTCAAAATAAAATTGTGCTTCTTTGGATGTGTTAGTTTTTTTTTATTATTTGTATAAAGTTTAACATATTTAGCAAATATTATTTATGTATTTCCAGAAACAATTAGACATGAGCCTAATTACGAGTTTTTTATAGTAAAACAAAAATAAAAATCAACAAAAATGCATAATATCTAATTAATGCAGTTAATTAAGGTAATATTAAATAAATATCGCTACTGCAATGTTTTTAATAATCAGAAATGCTAAAATAATGATAGCGCAAGCAAACTCCGCACCAAAGCCACGAAAATCCTACAAAATTATGTCACCTCAGGGAAAACACATTTTTAAGATTTCTTCTATATTTGCTTTTAAACTTGTAAACTCAAAAATACCTACTGTGGAAAAGTAATTTATTCCATTTTACTTAATATTTAGATATACTTCAAATTCCGACATTAACATTATCGTGAAGCAAAGAAAACTCACGTATACTTAGTAAAAAAAACTAAGAAAATTTTTTATTAAAAGATGATCGTTAATTCTGATGATCCTATAAAACAGGGGCTTGGCAGGTTGTGGTTGTATGTATCATTTAACTGGAAAAAACATGTGATGTATTTAAAAAATGAATTAAAAACAATGCAGTCATTGATAGTATTATTGGATATAGTAATAGATATAACAATTTTCTTAAACTCGTTCGTTTAAATCAGCTAAAACATTAAACTTTATTAAAATAAATGTTCCCGATATTTTTTTTTATATCTTTTTATTCAAGAAGACCTTTTTGTAATTGTAAAACTAAGCAATACGAAAACTTATGGATTTGTTAAAATTCCTTTTATTTTAAAGGTTATTTTAATCACAATAATTATTTTACCACTTACATATTTGGTGAATATGTCTTTTTGTCAGGGACAGTTTCCATCCTATTTAAAAAAGTGGAAAATTATGGGACAATTACGTTATCATCGGCTTTTCACAAAGTTTTTGAATATAGTTTCCTATCCACATTAAATTACCTACTTTTTAGATGATCATCAAATAACCTACATGATTTTATAAAAAAAAAGTTCAGCGTCTACTCTTCAGCATTCTTTCTACTTTAATTTGGTAAAATTGATTGATTATCCAGCTGGGATCTTCTGTGATCTTCTCAGCCGGGTATTTGACTGTGTCTACCTTGATAGATTATTAGATCATCTGTCTTCCTTAGGGATAAAGGGTGAATCCTTTACATGGATTAGCTCTATTGTGAGAAATCGATCTTAATATGTAAGTAAACCAGATAAAAGAAACAAGACAAAAGTCACCCAGTTTTTACGGATCGATATCCCTATAGAAATATGTTTTGTGGATCAGTCTTTATTTAATTGAAATGCAAATTTTGAAATATGAAAATAAATAATCATCAATCCCTTTAAGAAATTTTTAAAATTACACACCCATATCCCTCCATATCGTTTACGGCAGACCGTATTCGAAAACTTCACCCTGATTAACGAATGAAGGATTTAAGAAATATATTTTAGTACAATTAGATTATCGTTCTCTCCATACGATGTCGCAATGGTGGCTTTAAGAACAATTGAGAGAGCTGTGGTGGGATTGGAATTTGTGTTTGCGCCGACGAGAGTTGAAATCTGATTGATTTCAAATTTACGAGTTCGGATGTCGAAAACCATATTCCTCTATAGCTCAACTGGTACAGTCCAAAGGTTTTAGATTCGATCCCTGGTCAATACACTTATTTTTTGTTCCTTTATTTCTCCACTTTTTTAATTTTTCTTTGGTTTTTTTTCACTCTTGGTATATGGGGGTGTATTTTTTACAATTTCGTAGGGGGAATTGGAGATTATTCATTTTCATATTTCCAAAATTGCATTTTAGTTTTTCGGATCTCAACCGATTTTTCTCACTCTTTGATCTTTATTTATATTCTCAATAATTTTTTAATACACTTAATAATATCTTTCTAGATAAGTTGTACAATCATCAAGAGGGTTTTAAACATTTTTTCTACGCCCATGTCAGTAAACATTAAAAATCGCACTGTCAACATTCCTTGTAAATGACATTTAACAATAAAATGTACGTAATGAGATCTCATAACATACACGTGCGTTTTGATAAGGAAACTTAAATTTCTTAGTTTAATCAAATTGCAATTAAATTTTTATGTACGTAAGACTTTATTTGGTTTATTTACATAAATTTAGTCAATTTAAAAACATAAAAACTTTTAGCATTAGCGAGATACATTTTGGATTAAAAAAATGATGCCCCTAAATGTCGGCAACACATTATACAATTTTAAAAAACTAAGTCGCGTTTTCTTAGCATGCTATGGAAATAAACGTCGTTTCGTTTAAATTGTCAATTTTTGTAACAAAACATTATTGTATTCGAACATTTTCTTAACTTTACTTACGAATATGTCTGTTAGTAGTGAAAGTGATGAAATTATGAGCACTCCACCGGATATTTTAGAAAAAGCTCAAGATGCCACACATAATTTGTTACCGCTAAAATCCAAAGAAAGGTACGAAATTACCTAGCGAAAATTTATGGATTGGCGACACAAGCATATGTTCTTTATTTAATAGAAGAAAATAAATGGGCGTAGAAAAAGTATAGTACGTTACACGAGTTGTAAGCCCATTACGCATTCGTGAAATTTACGCACTCGCTGCTGCTGGGCTTCGTGCGTAAACTTGTTCACTTCGTGCGTAATGGGTTACTTAGAACTCTTGTTACGTAATATACTATTACATTTACAACTTATACGTGGATATAACCTTTTTTGTTGAGGGGAAACCGCTTGGCAGTTAGTAGTTCCGGGCGCTACTCCGACTAAAACCTCTTGTTCACCTCTGTGGTGTCCTCGTTCCACCCTGGGACTGCCTTTCAGCATTTCATCAGGGTGGGACTTCGTGTTTTGGGTTTAGATATTTTTTTATTTCACCATTTCCTTATATTCCTCTCATTTTCTGGAAGTCTCTTTCTTCATTTTTTTCTTTTCATTATTTTCCTAATATTTTCTGCTATTTGATTCCAATTTCCCTGGTTTTCCATCATTTTGCCCATGATATTTTGCAGCGAAAGGTCTAGTTCCCTAATAATTTCCCTGTCATGTCTTCACCTGACGCATGAGAAGACCGTGGTGTTCTGGTGTGTCAGCCTCTCCGCAATACATACAATTTGAGGCACTGGCTCTCCCTATCCTGTTTGTGTAGCTTCTAAATGAGCCATGCCCACTTAGAAACTGCGTTATGTAGTAGTCCGTTCTTTTGTGTTTGCATTGTAGCCAGGGATATAATCTCGGAATCAGCGTCGTTGTCTAGTGTGCCGTTGCCTCTGTGTTCTCCCATTCTTCCTGTCACATGGCTGTTGAGTTATCCTTGTCTGCCCTTTTGGTTATATCATTCATTTCCTTACCTCTTTTTTTCCTCTAGTGAAGCCTCCCCCTTTTCTTCACCATTAATGTAATTGTTACAATTCCCGCTCTTACGTTAGCCGCCTCTCTAGATATTGTTCGATAGGCACAGGATACTTTGCACAACATTTTTTTCTGTGAGCTCTGGATCATTTTAGTGTAAGCTTTGGTCTCAGTTATCCTGTGCCATATCGGTGCTCCGTTAAGGAGAATGGAGTCTACGACCTGGCTTAGTATTTCCCTCTTAGCTTAAGATGGGCTACTTATGTTTATCATCAGCTTTACCAAAGCTGCATAGGATTTGTTCGGTTTTTCCACAGTCTTCTTAATATGTTCGTCGTATATCAGCTTGTCATCGATATAAATTCCAAGACATTTTGCCTTTCTAATATACTGCGTCCCTTACGTTGAAGGTTATAACTACTCTGTTTCTTGGTCCCGTTTCTATCAATCCAGTCGCATATTTGGATTCTTGACATGGATATAACCTAAAATTATTAAAATTTACCGTAAATAATTTACATTAATTATACATTTTAAAGCACACTTAATTTATACTGGTACATTTCATTAAACAAGAGATTGTTTATAGCAAGTCATTATTATAAAGAGTACGGCTCAAAAAAAAAACGTTCTCTTTCATGTTTATAACTGAATCAAAGGTTTCCACTGATAAAGGTGGCACAACGGCTACCGGATTTAAACCTAATTGACTTCTATTTAACTATACAGTTATTAGAAAATATCTGCCAATTTTTAATTATTTGTTGTCTTTTTCAGTTCTCAACGTAGCAGCTGGCAAGGCTCCTATGCAGGTCAGCACAGATTCCGGAGGCATACCCCAAAAAGCCATAGACGGCAGCACGAGTGCTTTTTTCAGCAGCGATACCTGTACGCTTACCAAAACTGAAAGGACACCATGGTGGTACGTCAATCTTTTAGAGCCTTACATGGTGCAGTTGGTTAGGTTGGATTTTGGAAAACAATGTTGCGGTAAGTCGAGATATATCTAGGTATTTTAAGAATTCTGAATCGTCTGTCAGTGTAAATAATTTCATAACTTTTTCCTTGAATTTTACAATTAAGTAAATTTAACGCAAACCGCAAAAATCGTATCACTAAACGATTTTATTTCAAACCGAATAAAAGTAATAATCTAGAAATTAAGTGCAGATTAATTACTTTAAATGAAATAATTTGATTTGCTCTATTTAGTCCTTACTATATAACAATCATTATGAGTACCTAACTGTAAATTTATACGGGGTAAGGTTCAGCACCACATAAATATATTTAACTACTAGCATTTAGATTTAAAATATACTTTTGGTCAGATAATTTTTACTTTTTTTACATAGGATTTAGCCGCACGGCACCCCGCATGCAGGTTCAGGATCGGACTTTGATTTGATTTTACAATTTAGTTCACAAAAACAAACATTAACAGGATATTAGTTGAAATTTCTGTAGATTTCAGGAAATATGAAATGTATTTGACCCCGACGTAATTTGTGGAATGTTGATACATATATTAAACTGAGATAGCAAAGAAGATGACTCTATAGAATTATTAATTAATTTATACGAGAACAACTATATGTTCGGATGCAGTGCCGTTTTAGATTATATTGACAATATTTTCAGCATAATATGAACATTTGGAAAGGAACCATCTGTTTATACTTTCAAAGAGATGTATTTATTAGAAAATTATCATAAGTATTTGAAAACCATTTTAAACTGTAACTAACGAGTAAAATATAAAAAAATGTCGATTGGTGTTTTGACAACTAAATATTGGAATGCTTCCGGAAATTATTACGAGGGTGAATCAAATATAAACGGGATTTTTTTTTAATCAACTGTATTTATTAAACGATGAAAGACAAAAATAAGTTATTTTTCTACATAGTCGCCCCCTTTAGAAATGCATTTTTCCCAGCGCACGGGAAGGTTTTTCATCCCAGCATCGTAAAATGAAACTGGTTGGGTCAGCAGCCAATTGCGCATGAACTCTTCCACGCCTGGGTCATCGTCAAATCGTTGCCCTCCTAAAGCTTCTTTAAGCGGCCCAAACAAATGAAAATCGCAGGGCGATAAGTCCGGGCTGTAGGGAGGATGTTCCAGTTGAGTCTAGTGCATTTCTTCCAGTTTTGAGACTGTTAAAGCTGCAGTATGTGGTCTGGCATTGTCATGGAGAAGGATGACCTCTCGAATCCGTTGTTTTCGTCTTTTGCAGCGATATGCATCTCTCACCTTGTTCAATAGCTCCCATAACTTATTTCCACCTGTTCAGCAGTTTCGGATATCGTAACTCGTCGATCGTCTTCGCGAATGTTTTCAGCAGTAATGCTGGTCCGAGGACGGCGATCATGTTCCTCATTTTCCACTCGTTCTCGCCCTTCTTTGAACTCCTTATGCCAAGCGAACACGCGGGTCCTTAAAAATGTTTGATCTCCGAACTGTGCACTTAATCTTCGAAAAATATCCGTCGCCTAAACTCCTTCACGAGCGAGAAATTTTATAATACGTTGCGCAGTGGAAGGGTGTACTTTTTGCTCGGACATCGCGACAGCTACTGACAAAGAGGTTTGGGATCTGAAATGACTGGCTCTTCCTACTCCCAGTGACCTCACTCAAGCATACAAGAAGCACGCGCTCACTCCTGCCAACAGTAAATGCTCAGGAAAAAAATCCCGTTTATATTTGATTCATCCTCGCATAAAAACATTTTTTAATTATTTCATAATTTCAAAATTTATCCAAATTCGATTTATTAAAATATGCTTTCAATATTGTATTGAATTTTTTTTCTGTCTCGTGATGAATTCTGCTCTTTTACCTTGCTACTTAAAAGCAAAAATTGAAATTAATTCTTAATAAGATTTAAAGGTCGCTCGAAAACATCAAAAGTTATAATGTATATAAAACATTATGAGCGACCGTTAAAAATTCATATTTTGAGATAAAAATTTAAGACATTTTTTCTTTTTTGGGTTACAAAATTCTACCGTCACGAGCAAAAAAAAGTAAAAAAAAAATCGAATATTGACTAATTTGGAAATTTTGAAAAATCTTAAGCGACCCCTAAAAAATGTCCTTTGGCGGAGGGTCTTAAAAAAACGATAAATTAACATATTTTCTTACGAGATTTTTGCGCCACCCTAATAAACATATTCCAAATAATTTAAGATTCCTTGCGTCATGTTAATAAAAATTAAACAAAATTTCTCACCATTTGTTTGGTATTCTGTCCCATAGGCGCCGGAACTGAAAAATTGCTTTGGGTGCCCGGCCTCTATGCACAGAAATGGGGGCTCCCCTCTCTCCACATCCCACATAGGGTCACCATCAGTTTTTTAAAAGCCATTTTAAAGCGTTGATTTTATGAAAATGTTCTTGGAACAAAAAAAAAGTATTATTAAATGTCGAATTACTGGAATTTTTAGGATTGCAGCGGCAGACGGGAGTTCCAATGAAATAAATAGAAACACAATATAAAACATTTATTAATTCTCATGAATTTAGAACGAGATTTTTGATGATTTATTAATACACATATAATGGAGTATTATTGTATAAATATAAGGTAGACATTTGGAAACGAAACAGAACCAATTTTGGACACCGCAGGTCATTTACGAAAAAACGCTCCGACCTGTAAATTTTAGGGAGAAACATTTTTTTTCCAGTATCACCCTCTGAACGGAAACCTAGCGGGGGTATATCTTACCCCTAAAATCTTGGATGGAAAGAAATATAACCCCAGAGTTTTAAATAGCTAATGTCTTCCTAGCCATGATTTGATGATATTCATCAATTATCCGTTATCGCAGATTTTCCACTGATGTTGGCAGGGTGACACAAATTTTAGTTTTTAAATGGCCCCGTAAAAAATCTAACGGGGTTAGATCTGGAGACCGTATGGGCCTCTAAATACTTCTTCTTCCGATTCGTTGACCTGGAAACGTTTGATCCAAATACTGACAAACAGTCAGTGCAAAATGGAGTGGCGCACCGTCTTGCTGGAATATTAAGTTGTTTGTTACGTATTGATCGTCATTCTCAAACAACTGTAGTAATGCTGGATAAATGGAGTTTTCTAATAATTCTAGATATATTTCTGCGGTTAAAGTTCCAGGAAAAAAGGGGTCAGTTATACGGTTACCAAAAATGCCAGCCCAAACATTAGGTTTTTCTGGATGTTGCGTATGCACTACATGAAATATTCTGAGATTTGAATCGAACCAATAACGACAGGTGTGACTATTTACCGTACCATTTAGGAAAAAGTGCATTCGTCAGAAAAACACACGTTTTACAAAATTGTTAATTGCCTATCAAAATCGTCTTCGTTAAGTTCTTGTACCAAATGTATTTTGTAAGGATGAAACTTGTGTTTTTACAATATCTTCTGAATGCTACTTCTCTTAATACCAGATGTTATCGCCAACTGGCTTGTGCTCAATGTGGGTTTTTGAACAATATGCCATAAAATCGCCACCTCTGTACCATTTACTACAGCATTTTCCATCTCACGTTATTTGTTAGTTACTGACCTTGTTTCCTAAAATTTATGGACTAACTCCAAAATATACTTGCGATTTTAATTGTTAAGAAGTTGGGCAGTTCTATTAGCACATCCATTGTTCGTAAACAAAGTGAAATTATTTGAACCCTCTCAGCAATTGAGTAAACCATTATTACTGATATGCCACTTTTATGCCGACTCTATAGCGAAATAAACTACACCATACTACTTTACGGCGACCAAAGAATGTCATCTGATAACAATAAAACTAGAATTGTTACAAAAAATGTCTTTTTTTAATGACAATGTAAAGATTATGTTAAACCGCTTTTGTACTTTTGGTTAGCCACTGTATGGGCTACGTAGATAGTAACGATGTAAAATTCTGGGGTTATAATCATTCGACTCCTCTTTGCATTTAAAATTTTAGGGTTGAGTCTCATCCCCGGTAGAGGGTCTCCATTCAGGGGGTAAAACTGACAAAATATGTTACTCTCGAACACTACTAAAGAGCTGTTTCTGACTCTAAATGAACGTTCCTTTTTAACGTTGCTTGATCTAGAGCAACTTCCAAATGTACTCTTTTCAAGCATATGTACAGAGCTCTTGTCTTGTTAATTGTAGACCGTTATTAGTCGTTCTTTTTTGAGGGCATTTTATACAACAAGAATAATAAACCTTTAAGTCCAAATTCAACGCGTTATCAATGACAACTGACGGCGACTTTTTTATCATAAAAAATATAGCTCCGAACAATAATAATTTCAGAAATTGTTTTTAAAAATGGGTTCGGAGTACGGTAAGTGATATTTAACAAATATTTAAAAGTTATGGACTTTCCACCATTTTTTATAGTATTTAAAAGCTAAAACGCAAAATACTCTCTTTTATTTGTGTCCTAATTATTTAAGGAAACTTTTGTTAAGATTCAAAAATGTACTGTCGATAAGGTGAATCCAATTTGCAACCGTGCTAATTCAAAACATACGTTTTATTAAACACATCGTGTTACGTATTAGTTGAAATTAAGAGATAGAAATTTAAAGACGTCTTGTATTATTTCGAATGAAAAATCGTCTTCTAACCTAAGAAAAAAATTGAGTTGGGTCTGACAGCCATTGAAAAACTGATTCCGCATTGATGCATCCTGTCGCTCTACGAACTTGGGCCATGACAGCTTCTTTATTTCACTTATTGGCACTTTTTGTCCACGTTGTGCTATGGGTGCTCTGCACCCAGTTTAAAACTGCTCTGGGTGCTTGCGCACCCAGAGCCCCGAGGATTCGGCGCCTATGTTCTGTCCCGTACTTCCATATCTCTAATAGCTCTGCTGTCAACTAGTTCTGGTAAGGCATATTGTATATAAAAATTTTGAATTTTATTTTGCATATTTTCTTTCTAAAAGCTGTCATTATGTTCTCCACTTTTATTCCTCGAGGAGTCCAAACGCATATAATGTAAA